CTCTCATCTCTCTCATCTCTCTCATCTCTCTCATCTCTCTCATCTCTTTCTCATCTCTCTCATCTCTCTCTCCTCTCTCTCTCTCTCTCTCCTCTCTGTCTCTCGTCTTTCCGTCTCTCTTCTCTCTCTTCTCTCGCAGGAGGATCCGGGCAAAGAGCCACATATAAAGGACTCTTCACCCCTGCCTCCAAAAAGAGCGCCGTGTTTTTTCCTACCTCGCTGCCCTCCACTTTCCCATTCTGGAGCGCTAGCTTTCGCCCCCCCCCTTGGCCTCAAGTTCACTCACCTGATCCGGGTTGCGACCTGATCCGGGTCGGTGATGGTCGGTGTGACAGGTGGAGCAGGTGGATGTGCCCAAGCAGTTTAGCTTCGAATTCGTCTTGGGCGTGGACCCCCAGAGGCGGAGCCTGGCTGCGGAGCCGTTGATGGTTTGGTGGTCCACCAATGGAACTGCTCCAGAAAGATCCTTTCATTAACACACTGATAAATAAATACGTGTATATAACTCTCTCTCTCTCTATATATATATAGAGTTAGCGAGTTTCAATACATTTCAATGCACAAGGGTCTCACACACACACAGATGCACAGGACATGATATAAGTAACAGAGAAGTACGATGGCATTCTCCAAGGTCAGATGGCCCTGGATTTGATTGATGACCGGCATTATGGCGAGGAGCCGCGCACCGCTTGACCTGCACAATGCACAAAGTCAGGTGAATCCAGTCGAGCCCTGCTCGAAGTCATGAAAGAATCCGCCTGATTTTTCAGCAATCTGATTTGGAAATCACTTACTTAGGTTTTTTGTTTGCTTGTGTAGGGGCAATCGGTGATGAATGCAGAAAGCCCCCTGCGAAGCCTTTCATGTTTCTCGGATTCGAAGAGCCAAAAAGGAGCTGAACAACTCAAGCTGCTGCGGACTCGTGGGTTTTTTTGTTCGCCCTTTGACACCCGTATATGATGAGCAACTAAGGGAGACTAAGGGTGCAGAGTCTGGGAGACTTGTTTGATTCATTTTCGGGATGGGGATGTTGGGCTTGCTTGAGTAGGAGCACCGGCAGCTACTCAGCGTGGCATTGAGATGCTTGGAAGAAGACGCGGTTGGAGAGAAAAACCTGGTTTGGTGGGGTTGCACATGCACACTCTGGGACCCAGGTTCCAGTGTGAGGCCTTTTCTGCGATGCAGAAAGACCATTCAGTTCCAAGCCAAGGCATGCACTCACCATTTACTTTGCCCGAGTGAGGCTCACCTCATTCCGACTCATTGCCTCTCTGTGTTGGTCTCCTTTTCGATTTTTGTCCGACCCTTCTCTTTCTTTCCTTCATTCAGTTCCTTCAAGATGGTTCACCTGTTGCGCGCACCTGCAGTTGATGCAAGATGTTGCTACAGCAAGATTGGGAAAAAACCGGGTCAATTGAAACCCAGGAGAGGCTGGCATCAAGCTGGACCTCCGCATGGCTACGGACTTCCTGGGCCAAGACAGCGCCGAATGGGGCGTGAAGATCGACTTGCCGTTTGGCTGAGGATGTGAGGGTGGCGGAGTGGGGCTTCCCACGGCCACGGTGGTTGAAAGCCATGTGAGAAGGCAACCAATTCCCCTACTCAACTACTCATCGCTCACGAGTCGATTTTTCCTTCCCAGGTCCATTTGGCAAGAAACATGCCCGATCCGCGAGCAGTCGATAACTGCTTTCGGTAGTGACTGTTCTTCGGTCAAAGCCAGTGGTCGGTCATGCCAGCAGCCCTGAAACAGCAAGGAGAACTGGGCATTCCAAAAAAATCGGAGGTTCTGCCAGACAACGAACATGACAACCGAACAACAAGAAACTATAGCAACTGGCAAAACACCCTGCAGAGCATGGCCTGCGGGTGCGATGGCCATGGACAGGACTCCACACAGCACATGCGTGCTGTGCACATTATATAATGTAGTCACTAATCGCTCTCTCTCTCTCTCTCTCGCTATATATATAAGCAGAAGCATAATTAGCTCAACAACACATGTTGCTAGTGACAAGCAGCATCAAACGCTAGCAAGGCAAAAAAACACAGTTCAAAGTTGTGAAGGGAAGGATAGAGGGTTTTTGGATGGTTTCGGTGTGTTTTTGCAAGATTTTTAAGTTTTTCTAATAGATAACACCCCACCGCGTCCATGGAGGTCCTTCAGGATGAGGCAGGTTGGAGTGGTTGGAGTGTGGAAGGAACCAAGTGTCGCCAAGCCTGACATTTTGCCACAGACATTGTGACCAAGAACAAGGACTAGTAAGAAGCTTTTGGCTCTTCACGCAAGAAGGAGCAGAAACACACCCTTAACATCTTTCTTAGCTTTAACTTTCTGGTGGCCTCGACATCTCTGAATCGATTTTCGCCCGGGCCGAAGGACGTCCGGTCCCGCAAGAAGGCCGGCCTACCTCTCCCCCAGCTCCCTCTCCAAAAAAAACGGTCTTACAATCAAAAATATGGACCCGCGTGAGAGCCCAGGAAATCCTTCCACGCCTTGCACCATACCCGTGCCTTCCTGCAGTTGAAGCCCACAGAGGTGCGCGGGTTGAGCACTGCACGGATCAACTCCGCTGTGGCAGTCGTTGGGTTGGATTCGAAAGGTCTGCATCCAAAAGCGCGGGCCTAGCTGGAAGGAGTATCAGGGCCAGATGTCCGGACATCAGAAAGCCAGCATACTGAACGGCGATCGCTCCAGTTCAATTCAAGAAGGAACCTTCTGTGAGAAAGAGAGAAAGAGAGAGAGAGAGAGACGCGCATCGATTCCAGACACATCACGCTGCGCTGTTTTTTTTCTCCGACGGAAGACACCGTAAACCGCGGCGCATCGAGCCGCGGGAATCCTCTCCGCTGCAGGATTCGTCTCGTGCTGCGCAATGGCTTGGGGACGGCACCAGTGCCTTGGCCCGGCCCCGGTCGGTGGTCCTTTGGCTTTCACACCAGGAAACCCAAAATAACGAATATATGGGGTCGACGGCATAACAGGAGAGTGTGAGTCTGTGCCAGTGTTTTCCACATGGATGGCATTTTGGTTCCCACCTCCTGAGTTACTTCCATGTTGAGGTCTCAACCAGGGCCGCCAGCTCGCCAGCACGCTCGCTCGCTTGGCCCAGCTGGCCCTGCGTGCGCAGGGCCCCGCGTGAGCGTTGCGACTCGTTCTTCAGGTGCAGCGTGTTTCGACATTCAGAGCAAGCTGCAGAAGGAACAGACGCTCGGCATACCGGGGGGCCAAGCCTCGAATGGCCCACTCATCAGCTGAAGATGGCTGAAGCTAATTCCATCTACAGAATTTGTCTTTTTAAGGGGTTGAAAGGGTAGGTTGGGTGGGCTACCCCACCAATCTTTTGGCTTTGCCATCCCTCACTCAGCGTTTTGAAGCCAATACAACCGTTCCCGCTTTCGACAGTGGACTTAGAACGACTGTTCATGGGCAGGCGGTTCTTTCTCTCCACAAAACCTTTTTTCCCGAATGCGTAGCGAAGGGTTCTCGTTTAACTCTTGGGGGTCTGGGGGTAGAGCCTTGTTCGCGATCCGTTGTTTCTACGTCCGCAACCGTCCGCAACCGTTCGCAACCGTCCGCAACCGTCCGCAACCGTTCGCAGTAGAGCGCTAAGGCGCTGCCATTGGGGGAAGCTTTTGCAAGTGACTTTTCATGGATGTGTCACGTGTCAGTTTGCGCCGCTGTTCCATTGTGATTTGCGTGAAAATGACATGTCGCGCAAGAAACGTGATGCGTTTCGCTGCACAGGCGCAGCGTTTTGTGAGATCTGCAGATTGCTGCGCAGTTCCATTGGGATTAGCGTTTGGAGAGTCGTGTTTTTGGGGTGTTGGATGTGGCCGTGCCATTGGGATTTGCGTTTCAGGGTGTGGCATCGAAGCTCTGTTTTCGTGACAAGTATCAGCTGAAATGCCGATTTTGGTGGATGGGAGTGTGCTCAGAACGGGTCGAAATCATTCCAAACGTGTGGTGTGGTGCAAACTTGGTGGAAGCTCACATGAGATGATATTGGCACTTTTCGTGGCAGGCGCAGGACTTTGTGCGGCTTTTGAGGTGTGGAAGTGCGATTCTCGTGGCAGGCGCAGGGAATCGTGAGGGTGCGAGGTGTGACGGAGGTGACATTTCTTGGCAGGCGCAGTACTTTGTGCGCGTTAGACGTGTGGACGCGGAAAGATTCGTGGCAGGCGCAGGGAGTCGGGAGGTTGTGAGTTGTGGTAGAGGTGAATGTCGCTGTCACATTGGGATTGGCGTGTGAGCGGGTGTCGTTTGGTGGGGTGGAATCGCGAATCTGCTTGGCAGGGCTGCGTGATGTGTGTGCTCCGATGGGTGTTTCCGCTGGACTTTTGGAGGAAGTCTCGTGCGAAACGTTCGTTTTGCGGACTTTGACATGTGAGTTTTTGAGGAAGTCTCGTACGAAACGCTCGTTTTGGGGACTTGACATGTGACTTTTGGAGGAAGTCTCGTACGAAACGGTCCCGCAACAGTGTCCCACAAGAGTGTCCTGCAAGAGTGTCCCACAAGAGTTTCCTACAAGAGTGTCCCACAAGAGTGTCCCACAAGAGTATCCCACAAGAGTGTCCTACAGGAGTGTCCCACATGAGTGTCCCACAAGAGTTTCCTACAAGAGTGTCCCACAAGAGTGTCCCACAACAAGAGTGTCCCATAAGAGTGACCCACAAGAGTGTCCTACAAGAGTGTGCAACAAGAGTGTCCCACAAGAGTGTCCCACAAGAGTGTCCTACAAGAGTGTCCCACAAGAGTGCCCCAAATGAGTGTCCCACAGGAGTGTCCCACAACCGTGTCCCACAAGAGTGTCCCACAAGAGTGTCCTACAAGAGTATCCCACAAGAGTTTCCTACAAGAGTGTCCCATAAGAGTCCCACAAGAGTGTCCCACAAGAGTGTCCCACAAGAGTGTCCTACGAGAGTATCCCACAAGAGTTTCCTACAAGAGTGTCCTATAAGAGTGTCCCACAAGAGTGTCCCACAAGAGTGTCCTACAAGAGTGTCCCACAAGAGTGTCCCGCAAGAGTGTCCCAAATGTGTGCCTACAGGAGTGTCCCGCAAGAGTGTCCCGCAACAGTGTCCCGCAAGAGTGTCTCACAAGAGTGTCCCTTAAGAGTGTCCCACAAGAGTGTCCCGCAACAGTGTCCCACAAGAGTGTCCTACAAGAGTGTCCCACAAGATTTTCCCACAAGAGTGTCCCACAAGAGTGTCCCACAAGAGTATCCCACAAGAGTGTCCTACAGGAGTGTCCCACAAGAGTGTCCCACAAGAGTTTCCTACAAGAGTGTCCCACAAGAGTGTCCCACAAGAGTGCCCTACAAGAGTGTCCCACAAGAGTGTCCTACAAGAGTGTCCCACAAGAGTTTCCTACAAGAGTGTCCCACA